CCAAAATATGTAAGAAAAGACATCATACAAGACAAAGAATATAAAATGTCATTAATGCAAACTTATATAAACACAATCAGTTTAGTTAAAAACTAAATTAGTTTGCTATGGTTAATATATTGTTTTGGTGTTATACTTAAAGTTGCTATGGTTAATAAAAAAGTCCCAAAAAGTGTTTTACTTAGGTAATAAAAAATTTATTATAGTATTAAATACTTTATTTTTTACTACTTTATATTATATTTTAATTTGATATTATATTTTAATTTTATAATATATTTTGCTTTTATACTATATTTTAATTCTATATTATATTTTAATTTGATTTTATAAATAGATAAAAATATTTGGTGCGTGAATAATATTTGTATTCAAAAAAATAGTTACTTGAAAATTAATGTTCTTGCATTTTTTTAAGAATTTAATGAAGGTTGGTTTTAATTAAATAATTTTGTTATTATTTTTTTTTTTAAACATCAAATTATTGGTTAATGAAAGTTTATTTATCCATTTATTGAATAAATAAAAAAATTCATTTTACCATGATTAAAACTGATTTTTGAGTAAATTTTATTTTTACTATTTTTTATTATTTTAATAGTTCTCAAATAATATCAAAAAAAAAAAAAAAAAATTTCACTCAAGATAAAATTTTTAAATTTTATAAAAATATATATTATCTCTTTAAAAGTTTTAAAGTTTATATTCAAACAATTTGACAATTTCATAATTTAATTAATTAATTTATAATTATTTCAAGATCACTATTTAAGATAATATAGTTGTTAAGAAAGATTTTATTTTTTGGACTTTTTTATAAAAGTTCATTAATACTACTGCTACTTATGTAATTTATCACTAAAATGTGTTCTTACACGTGTGTGTTTCTTTTTTCAATCATTTTCAGTTTTTTTACTTTTTGTTTTCCTTGTTTAAATTGTTTTTAGTTCAAAAGTTAAGATTGAATAGACATTTTATCCGCTATTATGCTTGCAAGCATTTTATTTTTTACAACAATTAAGTTTTAATTGCTGACTAAATTTTAAGAAAATGAATGTTTTCTTTACTAATTACTTAATCTTATTTAAGTAATACTGTTGATACTCAATCTTACTAAAGCATTACAGGTTGACAGGCATTCATGCCTTAACAAATCCGATTTGTAAACCTTATAAATAATAATAATACCAATAATAATAATATATACATAAAAAATACATACATAAAAATACATTACATACATAAAAATACATTACATACATAAAATTACATTACATACATAAAAATACATTACATACATAAAAAATACATTCCTTATTATATATAATAATAATAATAATAATAACACTGAAAATAAGATAGTAAATTTAAAACTCACTATTGAAAGTAAGATTGTAAGCTTATTAATATAATATTTATTTAACACTATTTTTAAATGTACTATTAAGAAAAGTAAAACTAAGAAATCCAATTCATAATTAAGTATTTAATTTGCTAGATAGTACATCAATCAGGGTTGGCTTCAATACCCTGGCATCAATATTATTTTTATATTAGCAGTTATCTTGATTATACTGCAAGTTATTTTATAATTATGATTATCCTGCAAATTAAATACTTAATTGCCAATTAAGTGAGCTTCTGCCTTACTTCTGTTCAAAAATGCATTCACAAACAGTGCTGGTTTAGTTATTTTGATAAATACTTACTGTTTAAAGACTTTTAATGTGTGTTAGCAATAATATACATGTAACTTATTTTCTTAATGTTTTTTCAAATAAAAGATGTTTATTACAATTAATAATCCCTTTAGATATTTTTAAAATAATCACCGTTACCTTTAATTTTTAAACCCAAAAATCAAATGTTGTTTTAGGATAACAGGATCAGATATATGCTCAGAAATCCTGAATAAAGTTGATAGTGGTTATTTGTACAGTGAGGCTGTTGCAAGGTTACTTTTTTTGAAGTTCTTATTAATGTAGGATATAAGTTTCTAGTATTAATGAATTTTTCTATAAAGTATCAATGAATTTTTCTATAAAGTTTAAAGCTGCTTTATAAAAATTTTGTTTATATATTTATGTTTTTTTGAAATATTAAAAAATTATTATTTTAAATTATAACCATGCACATTTTTTACATATAAAGTTTAAAGTTGAATTTGATTTTTATTAATGATATTAGTAATTTTTTATATAATTATATTTAGACATTAGGGTGGGCTGAAAAATGAAAAAATTTAACAAATTAAAAAGTGTCCCCTTCAAATACCTAGCTTTTGATCTGTAAAACGCATTTGTGAAGAAAAAAGTCAGTGGTTACCAGTTTTAGTCAACTCACTTGGGTTTAAGTCTCAAAAATGTAAAATTTTTGAAATAAAAAATTTTACATTTTTGAGACTTAAACCCTTAAAAAATTTACAGAAAACTAAAAACAAAGTCTAATTTGTTTTTAGTTTTCTGTAAATAACTTTTTAAATTTAGATGTTACAAGAAAATGTCATTGAATAAAAAAGTTCTGAATCTTTTAGTGTAAAATTTATAACATTAAACAAATATAATGCAATTTATAAAGAATTTAAAGATTTTACCTTTTTGACAATTTTGTAGTTCTTTTTTATAACCTCAAATGGGTCAAGTAAAACTGATATCCACATGGTTTTTTTGTCATAAATCTTGTCATAAATATGTTGTATCAAAAGCCAAGTAGTTAGAAGGGACAGTTTTTTATTTTTAGGTTTCAGCCCACCCTTTTAGGCATTGTTTTGTATGTATTATGAATGTTTTTTTTTTTAGCTTTTATATGCGTCAAATTTTAGAAGGCCTGGAGTTTATTCATGAATGTCAAGTGGTTCATAGAAACTTGAATGTGTGTAATTTTTTATAATAAAAATCTTTATTTCAAATGCTAAATAAATACACATACTTATACTACATATACATGCTAATATTTATAATAAGTAATTAACAAGTTTCACAGTAGTTGGTAAAAAACCACTCCCAGGACTCAGATTTAAATATTTCTATACAAGCTGTGTACCAAAACTAGTATGTAGCAGGGAAGATTTAAAATGGTAGCCAAAAATTGAAAAAATTGTGGGAAAAGTTAAATTTTCCATTCATAACAATTAAGTCAATAGTGAGGAAGATTGTAGCATTAATTAACATGATAAATTTTTAAAGTATTATAATGAATGTGCTCAAGTTGAATTTCCAGAAGTGTTTGATATCACAAAAACAGATGGCATCTGGTTGGCCAATGAAGATAAACAATTTTATTTATTTTTGCAGATGATATCACATTGAGATGCTGCTTATGTAACATCAGTACCAGTAAAAGTGCATCCATCAAAAGGTAGGAGCAGAAGTTCCACAAGCAGTAATCTTTTATTGAGCAAAAATGTTGCATCCAATCTATCAACATTTTCAGAAATTTCAGACAATGATACTAACAACTGTGATTATACTGTTGAACCTCCTGCTAAAGCAAGAAAAACTAAACCATATTCCACTACAAAAACCGCACTTCAATTAGTAAAACAGACTAATCTAAGTTCCTCTAAGTCAGCAAAAGTTTGCAAACAACTATCAGACCATGGTATCGACATCCCTATACCAACTCAACCTGGCATTTATAAGGCATCTGTCAGAGAATTACAGAAAATGCAGCAGAACTTTAAGGAAACTCTTAAAAATGACCATTTAGCTTTGCACTTTGATGGTAAGAAGCTTAAAAACTAAGAAATGCAAGTTGTTGTTTTAAAAAATCAAAACCGTGAAGTTTGCATAGCTGCTTTGACTCTTAGTGATGGGAAAGCATTTACAATTTTTAATGGAATAACTGAGGTATTTGACCTATATTAATTATGGGAAAGCATTAAAGTTATAATATGTGATACAAGTGTCAATAGTGGAGTAAGAAATGTAATTGTTGTAATTATCCAACAAAAATTTAAATAAAAAGGCATTCCTATACCTTTAATTTAGCATATGATTTTGTGCCAGAAGTCAGTAACAACTATGCAAATTTAAAAACTGACTTTCATCAAAGTGATGTAAATATGAAAGTTTAAAACATCAAATTGCGGAATGATATGCAGTTTTAAAAGTTGTTGATAATATCGGTATGCATTGGGAAATGCATACCGATATTATCAAGAACCTGGTATATTTCCTTTTATTACCTTTAAAACATTACCCAATATAAGTAATGCAAGATGGAACTCTAGAGCAATATATGGCTTACTTGCTTTTGTACTGCTCCCAGAAAAACATGAACTGCTATGTGAACTTTGTGAAATGATTTGTGGAGCTTGGTTTAATGTTTGGTTCAGTGACCATTTTTATAAAGAAGACAGTTATAAAAAATTTGACAACAGTTTAAAGAAACAGTTTAAAAAAAGCGCACACCATTTTTAAGAAACATTAGAATAAAGACAATATAGTAACTGAGATGCAAAGGAGTAACATTTGTGCTGAACAAGCAATTAAAATTATGCAAGAAATACAGTGTAAAAGTGCTGAAAAATCAATTTAAAATTTATTTTATCAAACAAGTGATTATTTTGTGTTACATTTTTCAGCTACTATCACTGTATTATGTTAAATATTATTTACTCATTAGTATAATTTTATTTCTTATACTAAATTGCAAAGTTTTGAAAATAGTTTTTCTATTTACTACAGGAGGTTTTTGAAATAAAATTGATAATGTATATCATTTTCATGGTTTTTATTTAAAAACTCATCTTGTATGACCATGGCCATATAAGGTTATAAAAATGTTAAAATCCTAGTGTACTCACATTAACTAACTTAAATAGAGTATTAAATAGAGTATTCAAATATTGTACATACATTGACTAACTAAATAGGTAGAACAAGCTAGGAGTGCTGCAAAATCTACTGAATAAAAGTAGAACATGAAGGTATTGTTATTTGGAGGAGTAATTATTAGTAGGAGTAATTATTGGTAGGTGTAATTATTAGAAGGAGCTGTTAGAAATATATTGAGGAAAACTCTAAAACAGTTAATGGCGAGTTTTTAATTATTTTTAATATGTTTATATGTAGTTTAGGTTTTTAATATGAATATTGGAATTGTTTTAGTATAATATAAATTATTAATTGAACTTGTAAGAAGAAGAGGGTTATGTCGAAGTTAGTTTGATGAAAAGATAGTAAAATATAATAAATTTCTTGTTTGTGTTTATTGCAAAATAAAATAAAATAAAAATACAGTAAGGAATGTACATACATCAACAACTAAGTAGGTAGAAAATGTTAGTGCCGCTACATCTATTGGATAAATAAGTAGAACATACAGTGAGTGTATCATTACATGTAAATATATATATATGAAAATAAATAAATATTTATAATTCAGAATTTTAAAACTCAGTTTTAGTTACTATTTTCTTTAAATTAAGCCTCAAAACAAATGCAAAAACAGCAAATAAACAAGAAAAGCAAAACTTTCTTTTTTTTAAATTCTAAATAAAGTAATTAAAAAAAAAAAAAAAAAAAATTAACGCTATAGTTAATCTCTGAATAAAATAATTAGAATAAAAACAAAAAAATTAACATAATTATTCTCTGAATAAAATAGTTATAAAATAAAAACGGCAAAATGAACGTTTGTTTATATGAACAGAATATTTAAGATAAAAATGAAAAAAAGAACATTTTATTTAAATTCTAAATAAATTAGCTAAAATAAAGTGTAAAATATGATGTTTCATTTTAACTCTAATCTAAAACAGCAAAACAAACTTTTTATTTAAATTCTAAAATAAATAATTAAGATAAAAATGTAAAAAATAATTTTAATTAAATTCAAAGCATAGCGCTCTATACTGAAGGCCTATTCATTTTGCAATCATAAGCCATGACTGGGGGCCTAATAGTCTAAAAAAAGTTTGCTTGTGAAAAAACGTTCCTTTATTAATTAATTTTGTTTATTATATCATAGTTCATATTTTAATTAGTCATCAGTAATCAAGTCAATGATTGGTTAACAGAAAGTTATTTTATTTATATATCAAGCCACATGATGTGTTTTAATGTTTTTAATTAGTAAAAAGATTTCAAAATTCTGCGTATCTCTTAAAACAAGTTATACAAAAATTACATATAAATTACACATCACTGTCTTTAAATATCAATATTCTTTTGATTTTAGTTCAGGTCATGAGTGTGCTCCTTGCGCATATTTTAGTTCAGGTCATGAGTGTGCTCCTTGCACATATTTTAGTTCAGGTCATGAGTGTGCTCCTTGCGCATATTTTAGTTCAGGTCATGAGTGTGCTCCTTGCGCATATTTTAGTTCAGGTCATGAGTGTGCTCCTTGCGCATATTTTTTATGTGAAGCAGGTAGTGAAATATGTTACAATTTAGAAAAGAATAAAAAATTTCTGATACTTCTAAAGTTTCTTAGATAGTTATATATATGAAAATGAATGTTATGAAAAGTTTGGTAACCACCTTCTGTAGATTGTGGTGGTCTTAAATTCCAGCAGACAATGTATGCCAATGAATTTTGTTACCAATTTTTTTTTCTTACTTTGTTTTATTTCATTTGATAAATAATAAAGTTTGTCATAAGTCCTTGAATGACATCCTTTTGTTAATTTCTAAATTTTACTATTTTTAAATTAATCAAAAATGTTGCAACACACTTTGTTATATATTTTTAAACATTTTAGTTTTATTTTCACATCTTACGCCAAGATCTAATAAAGAACCTGCATTAAAAGTGGTAAAGCTATCATAAATTTATTTAGAAATGAATGAGTTTTATTTTTTGTTAATAAAATATATGCTAATATTTTCTTTTCTTTTTTTTTTTTTTTTTATAGAAAATCCTCATATTTTATTACATGTTAATATAAATATTTCTAAATAAACGATTTAGTTTTTTAAGTCACATTTTGACTACAACTAAATGTATAAATTATTTTGACTCTAACTAAAACTGTAGATTTTTATAACAGATTTGCTATAAAAATTTATTTACGGTTTATGGTTGCGCAATGAATAGGTCTTCAGTGCCTTGATTCAAATTAAAATAATAAAAAAAAAGGAAAAATTTATATGATACAACTATATTAAAAAAAAAAAACTAACTTATTATTAAAATCCTTTACAAAATACAAATTATTGATATTCTAGATATTTTATGAGGTTCTTAACAAAATAAAATTATTGAAATTATTCACAAAATAATAAATTATTGAAATTTTTAATAAAAATAAAAATGACAAAACCAAAGTTTTATTAAAATTCTAAATGTGAACTTTGTTTTTAAAGTGTAAACAAAAAAATGAAAATAAAAACGGAATAACCAAATGTTTTATAAAATCTAAATAAAATAATTAAAATAAAATCGAAAAAAATTAATTTTTTATTAAAATTTCTAAAAAAATGGTAATATGTTACCCTCGTCAACTTTATGCTAAATGTTTGCAGGTTTATCAATTTGTCAAACCCTGTTTCTGAACTTTGTGCCAACCTGATGCTTTAGTTTGATGTTTTTGCTTAATATTTATTTTTCATTTATTTACTGGTAAATTTATTAATATGCTTGTAAAGTAAAACAGCAGTTTCATTAATACTGTTATTTTAAAAAAAATATTTTCTTTATTAAATGTGATTTTGTTTAGCCTCTATGTATGATGCTTGCCTCAACAAACAATAATGCAGCTGTTAAGATAACTGACTTTAGATTTGCATCAAAAATGCCAGAAGAGAACATTGAAAGAAAAGCAGTGGTACCATCTGAGTTTACAGCACCAGAGGTTGCCCATGGAAAAAATTATAATTATTCTGTTGATATATGGGGATTCGGTTTCTATTTAAATTTTTTTTCTCCGTATTTTATATATGTGTTATGTGTTGTTTATATGTTTCCACATGTATTACATTTTTATAAAAAACATCTCAAGCATAAATTACTTTATTAAAAATAATAAAAATTTATAAAAAAGAATTTATAAAATTCATAAAACTTAATGTTTTTTTGAGTTCAAAAAACTATAAAAGTTGTTTAAAATTGATAGTCTGAAATTTTATTAACTTTAAATCTTTTTTAATCTTTAGGTATTACTTTGTATATTTTGCTTAATGGTGAAAATATATTACAGAGTTCTCAAACGAATTCAAAGTATAGTTTGCAGGTGTGTAAGTTGTTCAACTTTTTTAAAGTAATATCTATATATTAAGGTTGCTCATCTTAAAAAACATTTGATTTAAATTTTTTTTTATGTTTTTGACCATGTAATAACCAATTTTTATTTTTACATTAAAAGTTTGGTAAGGTAATTTTTAGTTATAAATATTTATATAAATGTATTGCATATTTATTTATGTAATATCTTAAAATTGTTGTAATTATTACTTTTACTTTCTAAAATATTTTTGGTTTTAATTTTTTTTTTTTTCTTACTCTTAAAATTAATAAAAAATTAAAATTATTACATTTTACTTACTGTTAAACAGTTATTAAAAAATGCAGTGGTTTCATTTATCAATTCATTAGAACTTAGTTATTATTTAATTAACAATTCACAAGAAATTAACAACTATTTCTTTCATATAAGTTATTTCTTGACAGCTGTATGGCCAACTTAAAATGAACAAAGTTTTTCAAAAAAGCTGTTTTGAAAACAATATTTTTATTAGAGGTTTGACTAAATCTTGCTCATCTGGAAAAATCCAATATTATTATTCTTGATGAATTGTTTGTTGCCTTCAAGCTCACTTAGGGGCAAAAATAAAGATTTGTTTAAATAGAAAAATTCAAATGACAAGTGAAATTTTTAATCCTGCTATAAATATCACTGTTTCATTATCCTCTCTTTCTATTTCTAGATATACTCCAGTGTCATGTAATTTTGTCATCCCTATTCCTGCCTAAAGTACACTCATATTTGACTTCTTAGATCTAAATACTTTGACCTAGACTCTAGTTTATACTTGGACCTGGACTTTAGATAGTACTAAAACTTTAAGGTGTGATAGTAGAATCAAGAATATTTATAAAGATTTTTTTTATGAATTTTGAATAAACTGAAAGTAATTCAAATTTAACTGAAACAAGAAAATAATAAGAGGCTACTTAAATTTTTTTTCTAGAAATAATAATTGATATATCTGATTTTGCAAACTCAAATGCATGGAAATCATTAACTCTAATTCATATAGTTAAAAATACAGTGGGCACACCTACTACATTTAAAACTGATGTACTCAATAATCATCATTAGCAACAAACTCTTTTAATTTAAAACCTCTCTAAGTTTCTTTTTAAAATCCACATGTTAAATCTCTGATATCTGGCTAATACTTCTCTAACTTATTTAAACAAATATACAGTGTATCTACACAATAGAGAATTTAAAAGAAATGGTATTGCAATACATACTAGAAATTGTTAATTCTGTTAAAAAGTGGTTTCAATCTGGTAAAGATTGATATTGGTTCTAAATGTTTTTTAATTAGATATATCTGTTTTCATGCTCTCACCTTATATGAAACTAATTCAATTATCAATTAGTCTGTTGTATTTACAAAATTCAACTTTATTGCTCAATGATATCAAATGCACAACCTTTTTTACAATGATATCATTTTTATACTTAATGTCTTGAGCATGTACAAGAAAAGTAAACTGTCTAGTTATTATTTTCTTGAACTTGTTAATGACTGCATCCTTAATAAAAGTTTTTATCAAGCCAACTTTTTGCAAGAATATTCTTGACTTAGTACTTTATAATGACCCTGATCACATTTTTAGTGCCAATACTGAAACAACTCGTTGGTAACAAACTTAAAAATTACCTACATAAATTAATGTTATAGAAATTTAGCCATGTTTAACACTTGTTGAGTTGGTTAAAATTACCAACATATATAAGTACTGATAAAATTTTGTTCTGTTTTTTGATAATTTGGAGATTCTTTTATTGTCTCTTGATAATATAAAAGAAACTAATATTGGTGATTTTTACTTTCTGCTGTTAATAAATTTAGGAAAAGTTAGTTTGTGATGTTTGGCTAATAAATTGTTGGTCCATAATTTAGCTTAGTTTGTTACGAATTGGGCAGAAATGTATGAATAATCTTTTAAATTGGTTGTGATGCAGTATAAATTCTTTATAAATTTGCTAATGTAAAAATCATGTCTTTTCATCTAAAATCGATTGCTATCTTCTTCATCTAAAACTACCAGGTTACGGTTACCAGGTTATGTTATTTGTGAAATGATCTTTAACAAGCTAAACAATTTTTAAGTTATAATAAATAACTTGTGCTAATTGGCGATTCTGCTTCTTATTGGATGTTTTGTGCGGTGCGCTCAGGGTTTGGTTATTAGTTGTCTTTTGTTCATTTTCATTAGAAACATGATTGAGTTAGCAGCTTCTACAAAATATTTTTTGATGACATTTAATTAGTTGTAAAAATCAGAAACTTTCTTTTAACTTTTAATTTTTTGTAAAATATAAGCATGTTTATTTAGTTGGTTATGTTAATCTAACTAGGACCAGGATGTTGGAAATATTTAATTAGTTTTTTTTCACAATAGAAAGAAACAGTACATAATTATAAAGCTATCTATCCTGGTTATATTTAATAGTTATTTAAGAACTTTAAATGAAAAAAAATTTTTTAAATTATTTTCAAAAAATTATTTGTTTATTTAAAATAGATTTGTTTTTTACTTTAATTTCTAATTTTCAATGATATATTAAAAAATGTAAATGTTTACAAGTTTCTTTAACTTAAATGTCTTTACTTTACTTTAGATGTCTTTAACTGGTTCAGATATTTCAGAAACAGCAAAAGATATACTATATCAAGTACTAGAATATGATCCTGTAAAGAGACCATCTGCTACATCACTTCTCCAACATCAATGGTTTAATGTACTTCTATCTTTTTTATAACATTTTTGTGTTCAATTTGTTTTTTTAAAATATGTAAACTTATTTATTGTTTTAGTTTTTCTTTGAGATTTTCTTTTTAGAAAAAACAACAAGTACCACGTTTTCACTTACTAAAAACCATAGAGAATCTTAAGAACTTCAATAAAAGACAACAGGTAATATTATTTATGATAGGTAGATAGTATTAATAATGTTTTATATTATTAAAAGCTTTACAGTTAAACTAGCTTTCAAACACTTTATTTTCAATCAGCCTTTTAATGTAAATTAGGTAATTTAAGTTTTTTTTGATTACTTAATTTAAGTGCATTAAACAATTATATTTTATGGTATTATATTATATATCACAATATAGCAAATTTAAGTAAAATTTTTTGAATCAATTTTTTCTTGTAGTTCAAACCACATATGGCTATATTGGTTAGTAATAAAAAAGTTATGTGAATTATATCCAATTATATTCACAGAACTGACAGCATATTGAGGAAGGTGTCAAATTGGCTTCAATTTAAAATGTTTCATATTTTCATGAACACTACAATTAAAGAGGCTATTTTTTTTAACTTTATTTTAAACTCACTCAAACCTATACTTCAAAATCTGAACCTTTGTTAAATAAGATTGGCAACCAGAGATCTGCGCAAATAAGATTGGCACCCAAAGATCTGTGCAAAGAAACATGTTAAGTGCTAAGAGGGATTATCAATCTTTAGAAGAAAGCAGCTATTAAGTCCAAGTCTAACAGCGTCCAAGTCTAGCAGCAAGAGAGATTATAGTTTCACAAGTGAAGTTAAGGAGAAGAGTTCATACTTTCTTTAGCAATATAAATAACAATAATCTAATCAGAAACCTATGTCCTATTTAGAATACTAAACTTTTCATATCTTGGCTATAAGAATGTTGTTGGATACTTGCTTGGTGCAAGTTAGTAATCAAAAAATGTCACCAAATATATTCCATTTTCTTTAATTAGAAAGATGGGCTGTGCTTCTGCAGTTATGTGGCTGGTCTTTTTGAAACTATTGGTACCACATGTAACTCAAGTAAATGATACCTTTTTATAGATATTTCATCTTGGAGCCTCAAAGCTGTTGTTTCCAACAAAAAAAAGCTGGTCATTTAGAGTTCACAAAGAGTATTGTGAGGTGGGAACCGTTGATAGAACCTCAGGGTATTCTTCTGTCACCACTGGATATCAAGTTATCTCATCAAGCAATGAAAAAAACTGTCCAAGGCTAAGATAAGGCATCTTTGTCAGATCACAGATAAAGATGATTATAGAACAAATTTAGTAACAAATTTAGAAATTCTAACCAAAGTTCTTTATTCACCAGATTATTGTTTTAAGCAATTGATTTTTGTTTTAATACAAAAATCTGTTCAAGACCAGCACTTCAGAAACTATGAAACATAAAAAAATGGCTAGTAGAATGAATTGCATCAAAAAAATAATAATTATTTTTCAACAGTATCCATAAAATGTGCTAGAAAACTTATCAAAAGTCATAGCTAAAAATAGAAAATGTTTAAAAAAAAACTTATATTCATAAATAAACGTGTTTTATTCTAAAAATATACACAATTGATACTTTCACTTAATTTACATATTTAGGATTACACTTTTCAACTCAAGTATTTTTGTAGGATTACTAAAAAAACTTTTTATCACATAAGTAGACAAAGTTTGTTAAATAATGCCTTAAGTTATTATTCTATATATGTCTTCATGCTATGATGATCCCAATCATTTATATAATTATTTTAAAACAAATTATATATATATATATATATATATATATATATATATATATATATATATATATATATATATATATATATATATATATATATATATATATATATATATATATTAGACAGAAAAATATTCATAAATAAAAACCAAATAAACAATAAAGTTTACGAATATGTTTTTAATTAAAACAAATGTTTTTATTTATTATAATTGTTAAAAGATGTTCATATCAAAAGATGTATTATGTAATAAAGATATATATATATATATATATATATATATATATATATATATATATATATATATATATATATATATATATCTTTATTACATATATAAGGAGGCTACTTTAGTTGTTTTTTTAGTCAACTCTATAACTCCAAAATATGAATCTTGACAAACAAGGCTGCTGTGTGGAGGAACAAATTGAGTGTGGTACTACCAGGAACATTGTGGGGATTGAACTTGGAACTTTTCTCTTATGAGCCCTCTACCACTACACTACTACTGCATATGTTAATTGCTTTAAAATTAACATAGTTTAATTATCATGTTTAAAATTCTGTTTATGAATTTAGGAATTGTATAATTGCCAACAAAACTACATCAGTGAGACTGATTTGACTAATCCAAATCAACCAGTATCAGGTTTTTCATTATTTTTTTTAGATTTTTAATGGTTTCAATGAATTTTTTGATAACTCAAATTTTTTTTGATTAATTATAGAAGAAAAAAAGAAGCCAGAATCTGTGATAGATGACTTCACGTTAGTTACAATGCTAAAGGTACTTGAGATGATTATATATCAGATGAGTTTTTAATTTAAATAATTCTAATAATTCTATTACAAGTCATAAATATTTAATTTTTTTTTATGAGAACAATGATTTTATTTTTAAGTTTTTGTTTTTACAAATATTTTGTTTTTACCTTTTTTGTGTGTTTATTGGTAACTGTTAATTGCTGTGTTTCATTTTTTTTTTCAAAATATTATTATCATTGCTTATATAATGTTGTGGTTTTCAATTATTTATTTTGTTGTAATTACCAATTTTAGGCTAATGAAGATACAAATATTTATCTTCATTGGCCTAGGGGCCATTATAGTGAAAAAGGCTACTCAATTTTTTTTTTAGTTTCTTGCAATTGTTTATTTAACTTTTCTATCAGTTCTTTAATTCTGAAATACCAACCTTGACGAAAAAGTCAATGTTAGAAGAAACAGTATGGCGCTGTACCTACAGGGACATTGTGGCAATGAACTCCATACCTTTCAAACTACTACCCTCCATGCTAACAAACTACTGCAATTATTTATATTTATTGTTGATTTTTTGAATTCTACAATGGCCAGCACGCACTTAGCTTGTCTCTATGCAGAGCAGTGTTGCCATAACTTTTTTGTGTTTTTGACTTTTGTGTTTTAGAGTTATAGAGTTGTGAGAGTTATAGTGATAAAAAGGAATTTTAATTAATAAAAAAGAGTAATAAAATTAAAATAATATTTTAAAGCTAAAATTAAACTACACATTTTTTGAAATTTTATACCTTCCTCTACATTGTTTTTAGTTTAATTTTTATAACATGTATTGGCAAAGTAATACATGCCCAAATAAAATCCTCTGAACCTGTCCCTTTTTAAGTCAGTCAATCAAAATTATTCTTCTGTCAAAAAGTTAAATTAAATTCTTTAAGGTTTATGGAAGTAATTTTTTAAAACAAAGTTATTTTGTATTTAAATTTATAATAATATTTATTAATGAATGAATTTGATTTTAAACGACTTTATCTGGTTTAAGAAGAAGGGTTCTAGTATCGATTCATGGTATTTGTAGCAATTTATAACTATTAAAACAACATACTGATCCTATACCAGTGAAGCAAACTAGCTAAATATTCTTTAACCTACCTCAGTCAATGCTGGATCAGCTGCAGCCCCCTCAGCTAGTTGACCTACTTGCAACCAGATCTTAACTGACACTTCATTAAAAGAGCAGAGCGTTGGAACAGTTTTTCATCTATTAAAACACATGCTAATCTAATTCTAGCAAAGCAATCTAGCTAAATGATCTTTAACCTACCTCAATCATTGCTGGGTCTGCCGTAATTTGCTCAGCTAGTTGACCTACTTGTGGCCAGACCCTAACTGACACAAGAACAGTAATAAAAACCGTTAAGATAAATAACCATAGCATTAGCGTAATAGCGTTAGAACAGTAATAAAAACCACATTAAGATAAATAACCATAGCATTAGCGTATATATGGAAGGATTGAATCATGGTATTATAGAGGCTAGATTCCCTACTATTAAAACATATACTAATCCAATACCAATTAAGCAAACTAGTTAAATGATCCTTAGCCTGCCTCAATCAATTGTGGGTCACCCATAGCCCCCTAAGCAAGTTGATCTACCTGCAGTCAGATTTTAATTGACACTTCACATAAGAAGCAGACTGTTAGAATACTAGTAAAAACCATATCAAGTTAAAAATTATAGCAACAGATAGATAATGGGTGCCTTGGGTATGGATTAGTGTTGGTAGGGTGGTAAGAACAAGTTGATTGATATATATTTACGAAACATTTAATAAAAACGTATTTAAATATTTTAATAAAAAGCATCACTATATATTTAAAAAAGTTTAAATATAAAGTAAAGTTAATTAATAATTTTAAGGTTATTGTACTTTACATTTATATTTAATTATTTAAACACAAACTTGTTGCTTAATTGATTATTTATTTAACTAATTACAGTACAAATAGATTATTTTATATTTAAAATTGGTAAAGAGTTTAATATATTTAAAGGAATGAGGTATGCATGTGCATGAGAGAATATATGTAAGTCAATTAGAAGAAAATCTTAGATAAAGAGCAAACAAAGACAGCAAAATATTAACAATTTACAAAAATCTTTCCATAATTTACTTCTCTATGTTCCAATGTTTATGTATTTTGTCACTTTTCTGAGATATGTGCTTTTGAATAAGTTAGACATAAAATCTTTTATTTTTTTCTTAACAATTTCACATTTTATTCTTTTACATGACAGTTTTCACCATTATATGTTATTTTATATTTTCTATATATAGTTTATGCTATTTATATATACAATTATCAAATTGTTCATATAAAGTAAATATTTTTGTTGTTTTTATTGTTGTAAATATTGTACCATACTGTAACAAAAATTGAAGTAAAGCTTTTTTTTTCAGATTCACAATTTGACAAAAAAGTATAAAGATGAAAACGATGTCAATAAATTAATAGCTAATGCATCTTTATTGAGATCTGAGGTAGCTTCTAAACTAATATTTTCAAGAAAACTTCATTTTAATGTTTAAGTATGTTTTCCTTTTTTATTTTTGTTTATGTATGTTTGATAAATTTAAAGCCTTTTTACATAATCAGTAACAAGAAATTTAATGGCAATAATTAATGCGACCCAGGGGAATATTTGCTTTTCGAGCACCTGAGAGTAATAATATTGTAAACTACAATTAATTTGTTACTTTGTATTGAAGAGCAGTGCAAAACTTTATTTCATATTTGACACTGCACTCTTATAAAAATCAGGCAACATCAATAACATGCTAAACTGTTATGAATGCTAAGTATAAAACAGCAAAATTTTATTAAGCACAAATCTAAATCAAAATAATTGTAAAAAATATTATTATATTACTAACTGCTACAATAATACTGTACCTATTGTAGCTACTGTAGCTGGTGGAATGTTTGCAATTTGTAGCTTTTACTTAAATGTAAAAAATAATTTGTAGAAAAAAATAATTTGTAGTAGCAACATAGATTTTACAAAATTTATCAGAGGAGTTCTCAAAAATTAAAACAAAAAAAATATTTTCATACTTATTTTTGGATTTGACTAATGAAAACATTCAAAAAAAAAAATTTATAAATCAAATTTATTTATATTTTTATTGCTACTGCATATTGTTAATTATTTTTTCCATTTAATCTATAATTAAGGTTAGGGCAAATAACAAAAAGTAAATTATGAAAAATATCAATTAAATAGTTATTTAATTTAAAATTGTACAAGTTTGCATTAGCTGTCACATGAAGGAAAAAAAAAATTTGATAGCAAAATACACATTTGATAGCAAGCCTCACTAGAATCTAATTGCTTTATTTACTTATTTATGGACACATGAGTATTCCATGTTTCCATGAAATACTCATGTGTTGAATGTTTCTTTTGATGACTTATATGCATCAATTTACATTTATTTATGTTAATGTGCATAAACCACGTTTTTAACCGTGTTAACCACACTGTAAATGTCTGCCTGAAACATTGTGAAACCTTATGCAAACTTTGTAATGTAAATAACTTATTTGTTATCAATGCATAGCGTTATCTTGATAACGCTTATATGTTCACAAGCAGTAAACATCTAAGGGAAATATGAAGTACATTAAGATAGAGGATAATTATTTTTCAAACAAAGCATATTTTTGACAGTTGTCAAGACAAAAATAAAGATTAATAAAAAAATATATTTTAAAATGTACTCATATGATGACAAAAATAAGACTATTTCATTTGTTCATTTGTGTATGAACAAATGAAATTTATCTGAAAACAAATTTTGACAATTAGAAAAATGTAAATATAAATGTATATATGGCATACATATATACATTTATACTAGCAGACTAATCTAAATTATTTTTTGAACTATAAGTTGTGTGGAAAAGCATAAACATTTCTCTTTTTGTTATGGTATTTATGGAAAAGCTGTCCATTGTTACTAACTTTGATACAACTTTCTTGATAGTTTGCTGTTTAACAAGTATTGTAGTTTTTTTTTTGCACTTCTAATGTAATTCTTTGTGTGAGTTTTTTTAAATGGCAAAGAAGTCTGCTTGCAGAAATCATTTTTACATTTTTACACCATACTTTTTGAAAATGGCAGATTTGCCAGATTTTTTTTTACAACAATATTGATATGCTTTCTATCTACTTACTCAAGATATAATATAGTTATTAGTAATTGTTAAATGAATAATAGATTAGATTTTCATAATTAAACATAATTCTAACATAGTATAAATTTATACAACCTTGGTACAGTTATTTTAATACATAAATTATTTTTTTAATAACACAATACAACAAAATGTAATATTTTCAATTATTTCAAATTTTAAAAACCAAGCATGGTTGCACAAAACGTATTTATTTTTATCTTTTGAAGAATACAAATTATGGAAAGAAACTGGGGATGTATTGGTTTTACATTTAAACATAAAACAAAGAGTATTAAAAATATTTAGTTTATATATATTAAAAACTTTCATTTCAAATAATAGAGGCTTGCCATGAGTATAACAGTCTTTAATATATATAAGATGTGCTAAATGCTTCTGCTGACAATAAAGAGGCTTATGTTTATTTTTATTGGTTTTACTCCAAGCAATGTTTGCATAGTTTATGTGACAATCAATAAACAAGTGATATAATTATACTAAAGTATAATTATTTAAAACATTTCTTTTACAATATAAATCATTAATATAAATAAGGAAAAGGTATTTTCACTATATAATATTTTCTAAGAAATATCTACTGAAAAGAACTTAGGGAAATTATCAGGTATTTCACATTTAAAAATGCCTTTTTTAGGCAAATTATTAAAAATATGTTTGGTTTTAATGTTATCAATTGTGGAAGTTGTTGATTAAGTAATTCTTGTTTTTTTTTTTATGTAAATGTGTGTTAATATTTTGGTAATATTTTTTAGGTTTGTTTATCGCTTTCTTCGGTTTCTGGTAAAGCAACAGTTATTAATGAAAAAGTGGCTTTATTGTTAGATCTTTTAGATAGTCTTCATTTTAAGGTACATTTTTATTTATTTTGTTGTATTTATTTAAATTTAAACAATAAGACAAAATAATAATTTACAAAAAAATAAAAAAAAATTGATCTTTTTTGCACAATTTTTGCATAAATAATAGTATAATTGATTGAAATATTAAAATATTGTTATTCATAAAAATATACATATTGTTATTCATAAAAATATACATATTGTTATTCATAAAAATATACATAATTCATTTGTTTTTAAAGACTATGTTAAAAGTGCATGATGAAACAATAAAAGAGCTTCAACAGTTGGATCAACCTATACAAAATAGATTAGGAGATGGAATACGCCAAAGTTTGTCTGATAATTTTACACAAGTTCGATTAATTCAGTTTCATCGACCTCACTCAGAACCATTGGTTAGTTTTTGTTTTACTTTTTAGAATAACATTAGAAAAATACATTTTATTGTTTTATTTAAACTAAAAATAATTAATAATTTAATTTTTATTTTATTATTTACTTATTTTTGTATATTTTTTTATTCCTTAAAAATCTTATGTTTTGTTTTCTATATTATTTATTTATACTGCCTCATTATTTATCTTTTATATGTTATTTTTATATCTTTATTTTATTTCCACCAAATCTATTGTTTTCCCTTTATTATCTATACATGTTATGTTTATGTTATATGATACTTTAATTTATACATTTCCCAAATCTTTTAATCTCTCATTTATTTGTATGTATATTGTGTTGTATATCACAAATGTTCCCCTGTATTTTTTAGGGGATTACAGTAAAAATGATTAATAAAAAGCACTGTGTTGCTAGAATAATACATGGTGGAATGATACACAGACATGGGACTCTGAACATAGGTGATGAGATAAAAGAAGTGAATGGCACTAATCTGAGCTATAAATCAGTTGAGATGGTGCAAAAAATTTTGGTAAATATTTAAAAAATTTTTATATTATTATTGGTGATTTCTGAATAACTTATTTCTAACAGATTGATGTCATATATGATTTTTTGAACTGTAATTTTAGAACAATGCTGTTGGTGATGTTTCATTGAAAGTTGTTCCTAGTATAAGAAACGAAGAGATTAACCAGAATGAGGTTTACTTTATGCAAAAAAAAAAAATTAATGTCCTCTTTGCCAAAGTATTTTCTTAAAAAAATATTCTTAAAATAATAAAATTGCATATGAGTTATAATTTTTTGTAAACTCATCTCATTTACCTTGTCTTTTGTCTATATTTAGCTGTATGTCAGATGTCTGTTTGATTATGATTCTTCTCTTGATAATTTAATACCTTGTCAGCAAGCTGGAATGTCTTTTGAATGTGGAGAAATATTAGAGATAAAGTGTAAATCTGATCCGCTTTGGTGGCAGGTGAGAATTTTAACAATTTTAGTTATTTATTTTCAGTTGTCAGTTTAATTTAGGGCTATAATTGTTAGGATTATAATAGTTATTGTTAATAAATTATTTTTACTTAAACCAACTAAATTAAAATAATAAAAACATTTCCATAATTTTTGATTTTGAAAATTATTTTCTAAAAAAAGGCAACTAAACCAGGAAAACATATGGCAGGTTTAATACCATCTCAAGAACTTCAAGAGTGGTATGTCTTAAATATATAATATTTTTTTAAATTGTAATAATTTTTTTCAAAAGTCAGATAAAAATAGTTTTTTTTGTTGTTTTGATTTTAATTTTTTTAAAATAAATACAACAACAAAATGAAAATATAATATATTATAATAAATTATATATGTATGTTAAATATATATATATATATATATATATATATATATATATATATATATATATATATATATATATATATATATATATATATATATATATATATATATATATATATATATAAATATATATAAATATATATATATATATATATTATATATATATATATATATGTATATATATATATATATATATATATATATATATATATATATATATATATATATATATATATATATATATATATATATATATATATATATATATATATATATATATATATATATATATATATATATAAAAATATCCCTAGAATAAGGGTCAGCATTCAGCAACATAAAAAGAGATACTTTTAAGTCGATTTTTTGCCTTGTTTCTATGTTGTTATAGTGAAACATTTGTGTTCAAAATTATTTGATAATAAATAATAACAATGTAGTTGTAATGATTAGATTTTGTTTTTTGCCTTAATATATTTTAATTAGGGATTGCAATCCTGCACATTTTTCAATCCCGCTTGATTGACGCAGGATTTTTAAATTCCTGGTTCCTGCAGGATTCCGCACGGGGTTGGTAGAATTTGATTTTTTATACACATTTTATACAACTGAAAAAGTGACAATTGTGCTTATTTTTTAAGTAGTTCAAGATAACAAGCTCAAAATTTGATAATATTTAAAATATTTATAAAGTTGTGGTAAATAAAAATAAACCAATTATTTGTAAATCATTATAATTTAAAATTTTTATTAAATAAAAATAAGAAATAAAAATGCAAAAAAAATAAACATAGCTTATTTTTTTTAAATATGAAATATGAGAGAATCATTGCAAGAAATGTGATCTTAATAAACAGACACAACTCAAAGTATTATTTCCCAATCTACTTATCAAATGACTGCATATATAAGCAGAGTCTAAAAAAGCTTGCTGAGTCTTAATGCTTTTTGGTTATATTGTCATCAAGTAATTTTATGTTATACTAAGAAGCTTGGATCTTATTCCCTTACTTTTATTGGCAGATCCCCTATAAAGGCACATCTCCTTCTTCAATAATTTCTCAAAGTCAAAAGAGTCAAAACTTTTTAAGCATTTTTTTTACATTTTCTGTCAAATTTTTCCTCTCTTTCTATGTTTGATTTTCTAATTCTTTATTCAGCAATAGAAGTACTAAGTCGTTTCTAATCCTCAATTGATTTTTCATATTTGTTTTTTTTTTCAATTGTATAAACTTGTTAAGAATTTTTTAATTTCATGATGCATAACAGTTTTCTTTGGCATTGAAAATATATTTTCATTTTTTTAAATTTCTTGTTGTATTTTTTAGGATTTTGTTAGTAATATAGTGGACCAGTTAAATTATTATTTTGAGATTATTATTTATTTAATATATATTTAATTATTAATTTGAAATTACAATTTCTATTTTGATATTGTGTAAATCTCTTATGCAGTGCATCAGCTAAATCAATGTTCAAAATTGAATACTGCTAATCTATTTTATTATAAATAAATCAAAAAGTTGTTTCTGCAGTGACAAGACTTCGATTCTTTTCTGCATAATACATCAAGACTAAGTTTCAGTGGTATTAGAATTAAAGAATTAAATCTTTGATTTAAGACCATTTTTTATTTTTAAAACGTTATTCTGATGCAATATCAATTTGGCTTTTTTGATATATAACTTTAGTTTATGAAGTTGTTCCACCATATCTAGCAGGCTATTCTGCATTGTCTGACAATCACAAATCAACTTTAACTTTTTGCCTTGTTTATGTAGAATATACTTTTTTAAAATTTATCATTTTTAATAGGAGAGGTTTTAAAGGTTTTCATAATTATTTTCCATTTTTAATAAGATTTTAGTAATTGCTAACTAATTCCGCCAATGGTTGATCTTAAATTATTGTTAAATCGCATTCTTCATGTATAACTTTATCCCATCAGTGGTATCTTGTTCATCTTCATCAAAATTTTCGTACGTAGTCAACAGTTCTTTAACTCTTTCATAGTTTTTCTTGTACAAGATAATAACAACCAAAATTTGTATTCCATAAGCAAAACAAAGTTGTTCTAGCCCCAACCATCAGTGGTTATGGCTAGAAATTTTTTAGGAAGTCAGTATCAGAACTATTTAGCCTTTCTGCCATTAACTCTGCGTTACACTATCAATGGAT